ATTCTTCTTCTCTCTCTCTCTCTCTCTCTCTCTCTCTCTCTCTCTCTCTCTTTAATGTAGCAAATTAATGGAAATTGCAGCTTACAGAGTCATTCGATTTAGTTGATCGCTGGAGAGCTTCAAGGGATGATTCAAGGTCGTTAGATGACCGTGGACACCTGACGCCCTTAAGATTGCCTCGTTCAAGGCGCTTAAGTAAGATGGAAGCGCGTGATGACCTTTGTTATTGTACCAGACCACGAAAAGTGGCTCGTCGTCGGCGTGAAACAGAGACCATCCTCCGTATCTGTCGATCACGATTTAGTAAATTTAAAATTCAAACGTATAAATTCGAATTTTTTTTTTTTCTCTCCTCTGTCTTTGCCACCTTTTCTCTATGTATTCTTGATGAGTCGATACTATCCAATCCAGGGTAGGTCTGCCAGGTAATACTTGAAGAAGACCTTCAACGGCTTTGGACAAACCGTGACAAACCTGTTGGCCATCCTCGCATTCGCAGATACCCGTGTCCTGAATGGAAAAAAATATTCGAAACATTCGTTTTACTATTATTCGTTTCTACGCGTTTTCTTCGAGTAATTTTCGTGACAAATATCCATACATTGGGCAATGTTTGCCACGCTCCAGCATAATCGTCCCCGAATCGATTGTGCAGTTGGAGAGACACGCGTTGCAAAAACGAGTCGACGCCATTATCGATGCTAAAATAAAATAAAATAAAATAAACGATAAAATAGGATATTAATATTAATTCGTTAACACGATCGTATTTAATCACCTATAGAAATATGTGGAATGAGTGTCGTATAATTTTGGAGTGAGAACCAGCGGTGGTTCATCCTCGGAGGGAGGCCTGATCAAAGAGAATCCCATAGCAACCGCAACGAACATGGTCGGCAAGAGAAGGCCGGCCAAGAATGTCAACCAATCCTTTTTGAAGTGCCATATTCGTTTCCTCAACAAAGCTTTCATCTGCCTAATTGGGGTGGGGTTCGTGGCGTTCGATTCGTCATGAATTAAATCAACGTCGTCTTTCGCCACCGTTGAACCTATCGAATATTACAATTATATTAAACCCTCGATAATAATAATTAATAAATATACGTTTTTATACGTTTTTACACACCGCTATTATTATCTATACTGATAACGCTATCCTGACTAGCTCTTACGATGGACGACCCGCTCTCCGCTCTGGAGCAGAGATCGAGAAACACCCTTTCCAACGTGTCGCATTCCAACGAAAAGTGGGAATAGCCCAAGATCTTTCGACTGTCCTCCAACACCTTGGCGGCTTGCGCGATACTGAAATAGATATAAATATATACGCGCGATTTACGAGAAAGACGCGAAATAAATAAATGGTCTCTACGAAGGACGACCCACTCGTTATTAACACCGTTCTTCCCCTGGAAGGGCAGAGTGACTACCATCTCCGTGGCGGAGAGCTCGTTAGTCACCGCGTTAGCCACCACCTCCTCGACCACGCTTCTCAGCGTCTCCGCTTTCCTCTTCCCCTCTTTCGAATCCGTATTCTCGTCGCGGGGATCGGCGGGGAACGAGACGAGGAGTCTGTATCCACGGCCGTGCATCATCTTCAAAGACAAGGGTGATCCGGTGCAGAGTATCTTTCCTTTGTGCATCACGACCACGGTGTCGCTGAGCGTGTCAGCCTCGTCGAGGTGATGGGTAGACAGGATGACGGTCCTCCCTATCCTGTGTTGATCGATTAGGCGCCAAATTCTGCGCCTCGCGGCGGGATCCACTCCGGCGCCCGGCTCGTCCAAGATCACCAGCTTTGGGGAGCCTAGAAACGCCAAAGCCACGCAAAGCCGTCTCTTTGTGCCGCCGGAGAGTCTATAAACCGGCTCGTGTTCCTGGCTGCCAAGCTCCAGAGACGTCAACATCCTGGGGAACAGAGGATCCCTTGTCTAATTTCGATCGATCGAACATCGAGATCGGCCTTTCAAGATGATCGATTCGTTTATTTATTCCATTCCGATACACTACTCACTCGTCCACGTTTCGTTGCATATTCGTTCCGTCCTCTTTGGATCGTTTCAGTTTCGCGTAGAAGATGAGATGTTCCCTGGGTGTTAGGCTACCGATCAGCACGTTATCCTGAGGGCACACCCCTATGTCGGGTTTGCAACCCTCCTCGCCGTTCAAACATATCTCGCCGGTGGTCGGGGCCAGCATCCCCGTCAGCATCTTGCTGAAACGAGAGTACACGCTCGAAACGGTGGATTTCGATCGTTCACGAAACAATGGGAAAATCGAGTGGCGGAGTCGAAGAAAATCTTTCTACTTTCTACTATTAATTTTTCAATGTATTTGGGAAACGTACATGATGGTAGTTTTCCCGGCACCGTTTCTTCCAAGGAGGCTGGTTACTTCTCCCTCGCTGAGTTTCAGAGTAAAGTCATCCACCGCCACGATCTCGCCCTGATCGCTGTTGTACACCTTCCTCACGCCGTCGAATCTCACTCCCGTCTGCTTCTCGTTTACCGTCAAACTGGTGGCGTTGCTCTCTTCGTCTGTATTCCATAAAAACCGTGCAAAAAGTGCACGCGTTTTTTAACAAGGCAATCGATAGTTTCCTCGAGCAAGCTCTTACCATTTGTACAGCCATTTGTCTCTTAATTCTCGAGAAAGCGGGATTGAAATATCGATCGAAAAAGAAGCGGGTGTACTTGGACGATTGAACTTTTTCTTTTTTCTTTCTTTCTTTTTTTTTTTTTTTTTTACTATACTTTCTTTCTCTCGAGAGAATGTAAGACCAATCACGGAGGAAAAAGCAAATTTTATATATTTTATAATTCGCATGCAACACATGCAGCATACGGTGTAACCATCTGTCGAACCGGAGAGAGATATATAAAATAAAGGAGAGATATGGCGTGCAAAACGCAAAAACGTTCGATATCTGGTGCATCCGATCTGACGTGGCTCGCGTCGTGAGACTCGAGCAAACATCGGGCAAACTATCGAGAAGAAACACAGCCATGGACCGCGTCCATGACCGCGACATAGTATAAATTAAGCATTCGCAAATTTCCATTCTCGTGGAAGTAGCAACAACCATTTGCATATTTGGCGCAATCCAAATATTCGGATATCTCTTTCCCCCTCCCCAAAAGTGCAAATTTTACGAAACAGCCGAACTCTCTCTCTCTCTC